GTCGGAACTCAAGCATCTATGCGAGTACGACGCCGTGTTCCTCGTGCTTTCCGAGCATACGGATGAGCTTTTCCAAGTGCGGCAGTACGTGTTGCACAAAATGGGACCTGATGGCTCATATGTCGACGATGCCTATTACGAGGGGGATTGGGATCAAAGCGTGCCGTACAAGACGGTTGGGTTTGATGTTCACAAGTATGAACCCAAGACGGGAAAAATGGTTTATATGGATCGTAGCTTGGGTGGGTTGGCACTATTCGTAGGCCCCCACGAAGGCTTTGCTCTCCCTGCTGACGACTACCAAGGGTTGAAGCCCAACTCCATTTACTACACCGACATGTATTATTTAGATGCCGAGAATCGGTATGGAGGACATGACATCGGCGTATTCAACTACGAAAACGAGACTTTCTCGCCATGCTATTATCCATGTGACTTGAAGAGCATGACCACCAAGATTTCGCCCAATCCTATTTGGTTTAGGCCATCCCCTTGTGCATTCATTTAGATTCGATCTTCATTCTTGCTTTTTAATTCTATATATAATATAATGATTTTTGTCTGTTTTATGCCACTATGGACTCGGCTTATATGTCTCTAATTACAGAATTCAAAGCTTATGTTTCCTACCATACATCAGTTGGAATAACATACATGTCTGGTGTGTAGCTTCATTCAGTTCAGTGGGAGTTACTTTCGGCGTAGTGATCGATATGGACGCTTTAGGCAATAGTGTTGCATCTTAATATTTAGGAGGGCGAACGCCAACCCCAAATAAAAAGTCAGATTTTCGTTGGTGATAATTTCGGTAGAGACGAGATTGTACCGAATTCGAGGACGATTCCTTTTCGACAGGAGAAGAATGATGGAGATAAGAATTTTTATTATCTTTTAACTTAAATAATTGTTTCCCTATTATTATTCTAGGCTATGAAACTTATTTATTTTCACAAATTTTAACTTGATTATTCTAACTTAAATTATGGAGATGCTACATCATGCTCCCAAATTTTCACAGGCTATTCATTGACGAACCAAATAAAATAAACACAGTAAACTATAAACAACCTTGTTGATATCAGTCCAATCATAACAACCAAACGACCCATAATATAATTTGGGTTAGTTCTAGCTACAAATGAGAGGGTTAATTCACATAGGTTTTGGGCATGAAATCCATCGTTTTGGTTAAAAAGTCCTGGATTAAGCTATCTACACATAATATCATACTATCCTCCGATATCATTGAACGTATTTTTTATCCATTGGACAAATAACACCCACGAAAATGTACGTTTATTTATTGACCCAACAGTTAAAAAAAAAAAACCCGTAAAGAGAAATTCAAATCTCTAAAATTACTCAGCGCTTGCGTGGAGGGCAACCAACGAGGCGTAAACCCCTCCCTCCATCCCCATCAGCGCTTCGTGGGCCCCCTTTTCGCACACAACCCCATTCTTCACCACCGCAATCACGTGGGCCCCCATTACCGTACCCAGCCTGTGGGCCACCACCACAGTGGTCCGGCCCACCATCACCTGGTCCAGCGCTCCCTGCACCACGCGCTCTGACTCGGCGTCCAGTGCGCTCGTCGCCTCGTCCAGCAACAGAATCCTCGGATCCTTGAGAATAGCCCGGGCAATAGCGATCCTCTGCTTCTGCCCTCCCGACAGTTGGACCCCACGCTCCCCGACGCTCGTCTCGTAACCGAGCGGCATTCCGGAGATGAAGCCGTGCGCGTTTGCCGACTGGGCGGCCCGCGTGACCTCCTCCTCTGTCACGATGCCCGACTTTCCGTAGGCAATGTTGGCCCGGATAGTGTCGTTGAAGAGGACTGGCTCTTGGCTCACGAGGCCCATTTGCTGCCTGAGCCAGCCCAGCTTGAGTTTGTGGATCTCGACGCCGTCTAGGAGGATCCGGCCCGAGTCGGGGCTGTAGAAACGCTCGATCAGGCTTATAACCGTCGATTTCCCGCTTCCGCTCTCTCCTACTAGAGCAACCGTCTGAAAACGAAAAATAAAAAAAATATAAAACGATCCCTTTAAATTCTAAGGTTGTGTTTGGTAAGCATATAAACTACCTTATAACTTATTTGATGAGATTATAAGCTTCTTGTATTCAAATAAAGCTTAATTTTGTAGGATGAGCTTTTTTAAAAGGCTCGAGCTTAGCTCGTAAGCTTCCTTGGTAGTTTTTCAAAATGTTCAATGAAATTTTTTATTTCAGCAAACTAGTTTTTTCAGACATAAATAATAAGCTATCAGCTACGAGCTGGAAAATCACTTAAAAGATATAACCTAACTGGTTTACCAAACGCAGCCTGAGTCGGTAAAAACAAAACTTAAAGGTGTTTACGGGAGGACGAATATAACGCTACCTTCCCGGAAGGAATGCTTAGGCAAAAATCTTTGAATATTTGAATGTCGGGACGAGTCGGATACTTGAAGCTCACGTGCTGGAGCTCGATCTCACCCTTGACAATGGATAACGTGGTCCCTTCTTCACTACTCGAGTCGATTTTGGGTTTGCTGTCGAGTATCTCGAATATGGAAGCTGCCGAGTCTTTCACCTTGTTAACATCTGGAGCCATCGCACTCGCTTGAGAAAGCCCAGTGGCCGACATTGTTAGCGCGAAAAATACCTGTACACGCATTTATCGTTCAAAAAAAAAATAAAACAAATTTTTTTCCCAACTTTAAGGTATAATGATATTCTTCGACTGATATACCTTGAATACTTCTCCGAACGATGCTTTTCCTCGTTGAATTAGGAGCGCCCCAATGTAGAAGCAAAAGGCTTGCGCCAAATAGAGCATGCAATTGCCGATTCCCAAAGAAATTCCGGATATGATACCAACTTTAACTCCTTGTTGCAGGGGAGCCGAGCATTTTTTCTCGTACGCTTTCATTAACTTTTCCTCGGCGCTAAAAGAAGCCACGGTCCTTATGCTGCTTACAGCATCGTTCGCTACTTGACTGGCCTCTTCATACATTATCTGTATGAATATTATTTCAACTTTTGCTCTTAAATGAAACAAATTTTTTTCTTTTGATGCTTTTATGTGTTTTCAAACATTGCTCGATTCGAAAAATGTTGCAAAGTTTTTTTTAGTAATATTATTATAGCCACAAAGCTGTCGAATAAGAACCTTGGCATCAGCCGATAACCCTCCTCTCATGATTTTGGCCTGCAAGAAGCCTTGAAAACCGACAAAGGGAAGAATGGCTAAAACTATGATGGCTAGCAACCAGTTTGCAGCGAATGCTATGGCGAGCCCCGCAAAAACCGTTGCTATATTTTGGACTATTAGCGCCAATGCATCTCCGACCAGGCTTCTTACGGTGGCCGCATCTGTCGATAATCTCGCCCCAACTGCACCACTGCACCAAATAAGTTGTAAAAGTTCCATCTTTTTCTATGGAAAATACAGATAGATAGAAAATAAAAAAGAAAAGCAAACGAACCTTGAGTTAGCAGGATCGTCAAACCAGCTGATCTCTTGGTGCACGACTTTTCTAAAAGTCAAAGACCGAATCCTTTGGACTAACTTCCCACCGGCAATCCCGAAGAAATAATTCTGCACGGGATAAGACACGATCGTGCTCACCCCTAAAAGAACCATCATCAGGGCCCAAAATCTCGAATCCTTCCTCAGCTCGTGTGGGGGCTCGAAGAATATTTTAATAGCCGATGACAGCAAGAGCCCGAAAAAGGGGAACACAAGCCCAGACCCCATAGATCCCAACGAACCTAAGAGCAAGAACGGGATTTCGGGCTTGTTTAAGGAGGCGAGCCGCCTGATCGAGACCTTCGTCCGTTTTTGCACTTTATAGTCGAGGTTTTCATCTCTGTGGATTTCGTTTGTATTGGTTGCTTCTTGAGGCTCTTGAAAGTCGATGAAACCGGGGACCCCGTGCGGAGGCAGGGCAAACGAGTGCCTTGATGATGACCCGATGCTCGTGGACCTACGTGTCGATATTCTGTGGCTCGAGGACTTGCTTAGGGTTTGGTCCAAGACTGCAAAGGGCTCAGTTTTGTGTCGTTCGGTTGGCTTGTTATTATTGGTGTTGGGTTGTTTGGACCCTTCTTGCATGCGGACGAGCTGCGTGTATGCTCCTTCCGGGTTTTCCATTAGATCGGCGTGTGTGCCTGTCGAAAGAACAAAACAATAAAAATTAAATGAAACATAAATTAAGCAAAGATCAAGAAACAGAGCTGATAAAAAAAATTCATGCAAGCTTTTGTGTATGTAATGTACCTTGCTCGACAAGTTTCCCCGAGTGCACAACAGCTATAAGGTCCGCATTTCTTATGGTAGTCAGCCGATGTGCAATGACTATCGTCGTCCGATTGGTCATGACATTATCAAGAGCTTCTTGGACTATACGTTCCGACTCGGAATCCAGAGCACTCGTTGCCTCATCAAGAAGAAGTATTTTCGGATTTTTCAAAATGGCCCGAGCAATTGCGATCCTTTGCTTTTGACCCCCAGAGAGTTGAGTGCCGTGTTCTCCTACCATCGTATCAAGACCCTGCCAAAAATAAAAAAAGAGAAAAGAAAAACTTTTATATTTTAAAATGGTCCTTTGATCAGGATAACGGTTTCGACAGGTTAAAAAAACAAATACTATTTTACCTGTGGGAGCTTATCGATGAACTTAGCAGCATTAGCAAGCTCGATGGACCTCCTTATCTCATCATCACTAGCATCCTCTTTGCCGTAAAGTATATTCTCCTTAATAGTCGTCGCAAACAAAATGGGCTCTTGGCTTACGAGCCCGATTTTCCCTCTGATCCACTTCAGATTCAAGCTCTTCAAATCCAAGCCGTCGATCAGAACCTGACCAGCATCCGGATCGTAAAACCTCTCGACTAGGCTGATGACTGTCGATTTCCCACTCCCACTTTGCCCCACTAAGGCAGCAGTCTTCCCGCTCGGCACGTGCAAACAAAATCCCGAAAATATCTGCACTTCGGGCCGAGCTGGATACTTGAAATAAACATCCTTCAGCTCGATTTCGCCAATCATATCCTCCAGAACAGCCCCTTTATCTTCGGCCGCGTCTATTTTGGGCCTGCGTTTGATAGTCTCAAACATCTTGTAGGCTGCGGCCCGGCCCGCTGCAAATGCGTTCATGCATGGAGAAGTCTGGCCAAGTGCTCTGTCGAGTATTTCAAACAATAGTTTTGAGAAAAACGAGCAAAAATTTGAAAAGAGCGAAAAATAGTCGAAATTCGTAAAAAAACATTTACATGCCGCCAGTCATCATGGTCATGACGACATTTATGACGAGGCCTCCACTGTATCCTTGATCGAGTATTAACTTTCCTCCGTACCATATAGCGAGCCCATAAGTGAAAAAGATGACCGAAACTAACATGCCAACTCCAAAGCCAGAAGCTAAGCCTTGTTTAACAATAGACTTATAAGCTACTTCTAGTTTCCTGTCGTATTTTTCCGAAGCGGTTTTCTCACCCGTGTAAGATGCAACCTATAAAAGATTTACACGCAGAATCGCAAGTCCGATCAGTAAAAAAAACTAGCAAGAAAACGATTTTATTATATATTTATTATTATTTTATTTTTTTTTTTACCGTTCTAATTGCTCCAACTGTTTGTTCGACTACATTCCCAGCCTCGGCATAAGCAATTTGGCCACGAGTTGCCATTTTCGAGATGATTATGCTCACACAAGCAGCTGCCGCCACAAGAACCGGGATAGTTGCAAACAGAACAATCGCTAGGCGCCATCCTTTGACGAAAGCAAGAAGAAAGCCTCCAAAGAAAGTCGACATGTTCTGAATAAATTTACCAACCTGAAAAATCACAAGAAAATTAATTTCCCTATATCCTTCGATTCTAAAAATCATATAAAAATGACAAGCGAACTTGAACTTTTACTTTTTCGCCCATGGCTTCTTGGATAAGGACTGTATCCCCCGACATTCTCCCGATAACCTCACCAGTTGTCGTCTGAGTATCGAAAAACTCAATGTCCTGTCTCAATATTGTTCTCAGGTATAGCTCTCTTATGCGGGCCGATTGTCTTTCACCGGTTACAGTCCAACACAAAACCTCTGTACATCAAACATTTTATTAGCATCAAATAATTTAAACTTACGAAGAACAAGAATCATACAAATCGTGCCGTGTGCTTACGTAGAAGTGAAGCAAAACCGGCACCGAGTCCCAAGTACACCAATTTCAGAGATACCTAAAAAGATTACATTCGAAAGATAAGCTTCGGATAATTTCTTCTCAGCAACCCATCAGTTAAATGGACTTCAAAAAATTAAGTTCAAATTAGACAAAGGAGATGAACAGAACAGTAGAATTGATGAGATGAACAGAACAGTAGAATTAAAAATAAACATTTAAAAAAAAATTAAGGAAAAATTTCATATTAATTTAAAAAAAAAAAAAAAATTACGGGTTCGATCAACAATGCAATAATGAGGGCAAAAACAAACAAACAATGAAAAGAAGCGGGTTTTTAATAGGAACCTTGGAGACTTCATGCACGACGCGGGATCGATCCTGGCCGCCGAAGGAATTGATGAGCTCGCCGAAGAAGAGCGTCATGAGCGGCTGGGCGACGCCGTTGGCGGCGGCGGAGATGGACCCGACGGCCATAAGCGCCACGTCGTACCTGTCGGCGAAGGAGAAAAGCTTGTGGAAAGCGATTTTCTGCTCGTCCTGTTTTTTCCCCCTCTCCTGATCATCGCCGGCAGCCATTTTCAATCAAAAACAAAATTCAATTCAAAAAGGGTTTAATCGATTTGATTTTTGGTCTATTTTTGGCGTTTTATATATACATAATATTTTGTGCTGTGTTTGGCAAAAAAAAAAAAAACTGAACTGATTATGGCGAAATATTTGGGGGGGGCACGAGTTTGCTGTTGACGGGATTGTGTGTGTGTTGGTGTGTGAATTCAAAGATTGCCCCTTCTAGAAGAAATCATTTCATTTGTTTCTTGATCTCCATGATCTTCTAGAAGGAATGGCCGGGGTGCACGTACTTGTTTACATGAAAACAAGGAGGACAAAAAAAAAAACAAGGAAATGCTGAAATAGCGATCATATGTAGGTCATGCCAAATTTGTGTTTTTCATTTAGGCCACTTTAATTATGCCTAGTTTCATTGCACATGGATAATTTATTATTATTATTATTACTTAGTGGATTGGTGAACGAAGTTAGATTTAGGGATTTAGGAGTCTTATTAAAAGACTCTTTTGTTACTGGCAGTTGGAGTTGAATAAAAAAATACGTATTTGAGAGAGGAGAATCTTTTCTTTTATTTCTCATTCGTACGCTTTCGTACAAGAGTTGGTATCAGAAGTCAATATGATTCAAGATACCGCCACGGAAGGACGACATCGACGGGCGTGATGCCACTGTTGAGTATCTGGTTCCACAAACCACAGGCTTCGACCGCCAGATCAAGCAATCGGATCGTTGGGTTGAGATCTTTCGACGGGGATCGAAGAAGTGCGTCTTACGATCAATAACATGGTTGAGGATTTGCAGACGAACCGTGACGCTGACAATCGAGAAAAGGTAAAATTAGTACACAACCGCTACTGTGCATATGTAATTGAAAATAAAATACATTATATTCATTTCAAAATAAGTGTTTTTTAAAATTTTTATTCAGAAATTCGATTTGACTACGATGTGATTCCATAAATTAATTATTTTGGTAAAATTTTATCATATATTTAAAAATTTATATTTATATGAAGAATAAATATAATTCACATTAGCTAACAAAATTGAATCTTTTACCATAAAACATAACTACAGATTCTTAATTACTCATGTGAGAGGGGGATGAACTTTGGCAAAATGCAATCGGGCGGCATGAAATCACACAGTAGCTATAAAAATTGAATCTTTTACAATAAGTCATAACTACTCACTTGCATGTTGTCTCCGACTCTTCCCTACATATCGACCAGTTTGACCATCATAAGACTGAGGTCCCACAAATTAAGAGAAGCATTTAATGCTTTTCCATTTTAGTGAATAAAAGAATTCAAAAACTTACCAAAATTGGTAAGTATGCTAACAGAATTTGACCTGCCTTTTTAGAAAAAAAAAGGGTTACTCGTTTTATATATGTATATATAGATTTTGAGATTATCAAAAAATCTTAAAAATCATGAAGTATTCAAATTATTTATCAGATTTATATAATATACATGTACAAAATCTCATACCAAATTCCACTTCCACAATAATTCTAAGAATTCAATTTAAATAATAAAATAAATAAATAAAGTTTAAAATTGTCCACAAAGCCTAAAGAAATAAACCCTGCCAAATGTTCGTACGGCTATAGAAGTTAGAACTACTAGCAGATGTAATCTCATTAACTCCCTAGCTAACAAACACGCCAGAGTATGGGTCTTGGTCTTCTTTTCCGATCCTTATGAGTTATGCATGAAAACTAATTCTACCCCTACCGTACTCTAGTTTGGTAGTTTCTATACTTTGTCCATGATTGAGTTCTCGGATTCGACAAAATAAAAATCGAGAAAAATATGCCCAAAAATATGAAAGTCGTGCAAAAAATATCCACCAGAATTTTGATGATCGATTCGACTATCAAGACATACTTTTGAATTCCTTGCGAAAATAGCTTTCCATGCATATATGTTTCACGAAAATCCAATTGATGGATCTCTAGTGACATTTCATCAAATTTTAACGCGCAATTCTTTGACTTCTTCAAAACTTTAAAAATGATTTAACAAAATTCGAGATTTCTTACGATGACATTAAACGTGTTGTTGGAAAGATCGAGTCGAGAACTTCGAAACAATATATAAAATTGATGAAATCAATCACTAGTAGACAAGCAACGAAGTTATATCTCCACCGCCAACAAATATGAGACTACTATTGATCTTGCATTCGAATAGGACTACCTTTGATTTTGATGAAATTATATAAATTGTGAGACTAATTTTAAATTTTCCACATGAATATAACATAATTACAATAAAACAAATCTCAAACAAGAGATCATGCTGGTAGGATTCACAAGTTGTACAGCTTCAATAGCAGAAAAATACAGGGCAGCTGCTAAACAAACTATTGTCATACAAATTGTAAAGGACTTGTTACAAAAACAAGCCAAATTCAAGCAAAAACTTGATCCCAAATAGTAACTTACACCCATTGAAAGCCCATCTAATCAGTTTTCCAACAGCTTCCTCTCGATATAGAACTCAGATGTACTCAATTTTCACAGCAAATTAATCCTTTTCGCCACATCCACAGCATTACAATCTGGCGCCAGCATTACAAAAGCCTTCTTTGTCCCATCATAATTGATCAGAGTATTCACTTTCTTGGCCCGTATCTGAAACATCTTCTCAACAACATCCTTGATCTCAGGTTTATTTGCACGTTTGTCCACAACAAAAACCAATGTGTTGCGTTCTAAAATTGCCTTCATAGCAGCCTCTGTGTTAAGAGGGTATTTTATAATGGAAAGTAACTTGTGAGCAACTTCAGTTTGTGTCTTTTTGGTATTTTTGTTTTTGCTTGATGTTTTTGCAACTGCACTTGAAGTAGAAACATTATCATTATCAACAGGTGATAGATGCACGGCAACTTTCCTGCTACTTTCGGACTCAATGGCCACAGGTTGCAAAGAAGATTTACACTTGGTATGTAATTCAGGAGCTCGGTAGCTTCGAACTGCATCCTGAAAGTCACACGAGTGAAGTGTAAGAAGACAACGGAAATCATCTAAATTTGACCCCCTCATTGAAAATTCTGAATGAAAAAAAGGTATTAACCACTGCACACAAAAAATCTTGGAAGAGGGAAAATTATATACTGGTTAGTTTTTCGTTGTACTTTTTTGTCCAGGCAGACAATAATAATCAAGTAGCCTGTTGTAAGTTATATTTTTCAAGTTAGAACTTCTTCTTCTTCTTCTTCCTTTATTCTCTACGTCTAAAATTAATTATAGACATCAAGAGTTTTCAGAGGAACATGCACGAATCAGAAATTCTTTGCTACCGAACAAAGAAAACTAGCTTCACCAAGAATCTTATAAATGCTGCAGCAGAAAATACTATTGAATGAATGAATAAACACATTATTTACTATGGAGCAATCGTGTGCCATGGCACGGCTTGTGGAGTCATCGACAATTATTTACACAATGTGTTTTGATACATATCCTAAAATAAACACATTTCAGTTTTCACACATGTGTCAATGCATAGATTCATGTATGGCTTCATAAGTGAGTCATCGTCTAGCTACATAAAATGGTCGTAATTATTACACATAACTGTCAGCTACTTCGCAAGACAGATGGATCTCAAATGTTTGATAATAAATCATAGGGCAACAAATATGAATTTTTCCAATATAATTTTCGGTTTTCTAAAATACGAGTTTAGCACCATTTACATGTATGTTGTCCTCTTATAGAATAACTAAGGGGGTGCCCTATATATGATTTATTAGAAGGGATACATTTGATAATATTCCATTAAAACCCTAAGGAATCAGGTGGAAGATCATTAGAACAATTCAATTCACCATCATACAGATAATGGACAAATTAATTTATTTCGTGGGTAGAGGATGAAATTCACTTTTAATTTAGGGTTCCTAATTCAGATTACAAAGAATTCAACAAAACAAAACAAAAACAAAAACAAAAAAAAA